GTTCAGAAAGTTTTATCTTATAAATGTTGTTTTTCCTCTTTCCATTAAAAAGGATAGTTCCATCTTTCTGACTAACAGCTTTGCATGAATTTTGATTAAATATTATATCATAACCGTTATCACTTAATTGGCTTATGGATAACGGGTTATGCATTAATCCATCAACTAATAGCACATTATTTATAGAGGGAAGATTTCTATTACCTACTGTTCCAGAGCCAATGATCTTTCCTCTTTGGTTGCCTCCAAAGCCCACGTAGCCTCCAGGTTTAAGTTCCAGGCTTTGGAACATATGCTTTCTTCACGTCATGTGTCGAGAGCATCCAGTGTCCAGGTACCATGACTTGTGTTTTAGCCTTGCTTCTAAAGATATCTGCTACATATATAATGTTGTCCTTAGGTACCCATATCTTCTTGGGTCCTGGTTTGTTAGTTTTACCAAAATTCTGGTTGAATTTTGGTTTGACAAAGTAATCATTACTAATGTATTTTAGGTCGTGTGTGTGCCCATATATGAAGTGTGATTTAAGTGGTGTGCATTTTATGACTAAATACATGACTTTCTTAGGTGTAGATACCTTACCTTGATATCCTATCCCTTTTCTGCCATTTCTGCTAACTCCATAGATCATTGAAGCTGTCTTGCTTCTATCTATGTTTTTAGTCAGAAACTTCTGAAAGTTGTGATCATACTCTTTGATGATCTCATCAGCATTACTGGGAGTCTCTGAGATTATTTCCTTCTGAGATTTTTGCAAATCGTTTTCTAATTTTAAAACTTTTTCTTTTAACTCAGAATTTTCTAATATGAGACTCTCAGTCTTTTCAGAGTCAGAGACAAGTTCCTTTTTCAGGTTCTTGAATTTGACTCTGATTTGTTGATACCTTTCCAGAATTTCATTTAGACTTTCTGCAAGTTCAGCCTTAGTCAAATTAATAGTGAAGTCAGGGAATACCTCTTCAGTGTCTGATTCTGAGTCTGAACCAGAAGTTTCATTGTCTTCTGACACGTTTTCCATGAGAGCTATGTTTTCTCTTTCATCATCTGATTCTGAGTCAGCATCAGAAGTGTCAGAATCATCTCATGTTTCCATGAGGCTTTTCTTCTTCTCCTTGAAGAACTTCTTTTTGGGCTTCTCCTTCTGAAGATTTGGACAATCACTTTTGTAGTGCCCTTGCTCATTGCACTCATAGCAGATGATATCCTTGTTATTTTACTTTCTGTGTCCTGAAGAGCCTTCAGATCTTCTATGTCCATAGGAAGACTCAGACTTTCTGTATCTGGAGGAGGATTCATTTTGATTCTCTGATCTTCTAAGATTTCTAAATTTTCTTTGTCTCGGCTTCCATAGTTGATTCACCCTTCTGGAGAGGAGAGACAACTCATCTTCTTCTGATGAGGATCCATCAGAGGTTTCTTCCATATCCTGCAAAACCTTATAGTCATATTTTCTGTTAGATTTTAATGCTAGTGGCTTACCTTGCTTTTGAGGCTCATCTTCTTCTAGCTCTATCTCGTGACTTCTGAGGGAGCTGACAAGTTCCTCCAGAGATATCTTGTTGAGATCTTTGGCTAGCCTAAGTGCTATGACCATTGGCCTCTATTGCTTGGGTAGACTTCTGATGATCTTCTTTACATGATCAGCAGTAGAATATCCTTTGTCAAGAACCTTCAGCCCAGCAACAAGGATCTGGAATCTTGAGAACATTGCTTCTATAGATTCACTTTCTTCCATCTTGAATGCTTCATACTTCTGAATGAGCGCAAGGTCCTTGGTTCTTTGACTTGTATGTTGCCTTCACGCGTCATTCTCAGAGAGAAACATATTTTTGGTTGTCTCTCTGTTTTAGATTTTCTCATATTCTGAGTATGAGATAGCACTGGGGAGTATTATTCTGGCTTTATGATGGTTTCTGAATTCACGTTTTTGCTATTCAGACATTATTTTTCTATCTATCTTCTGACCGCGTCCATCCACTGGATGTGTGTATCCATCAGTTACCATGTCCCATAGATCAGCATCATGGGCCAGAAAGAAGCTCTCAATTCTGTCTTTCCAGTAGTCAAAATTTTCTCCATCAAAGACTGGAGGTTTGCCATTGATTTTGTCCTTGTCTTCATGATAGTCATTGCTGATGTTTTGGCTTGATCCCACCATGGTGTTTTTCTAAAGCTTGGATCTTGTACTGACACGGTTAAGTGTATGAACTCAGAACCAGGCGCTCTGATGCCAATTGAAGAAGTGAAAAACACAAGAAAGGGGGGGGGGGGTGAATTGAAAACTTGAAATCAAATGCACAATGACACAATATTTTTATCCTGGTTCGTTTGATCTCAAACTACTCCAATCCATCCGTCAAGGTGATTTCGCCTCTCTCTAACAAGGACTTAATCCACTAATCAAAAACTGATTACAATCACTACTTTGACAACTGTCAAAGTCCTCTTGAGTACAACTACAATCCGGTTAATCTCAAGGAAAAACTGTCTAAATCAAGATACAAGAATTCCGTGTATGATTGTTTTTCGTTACAAAAACAATTACCACAATTGTGATAATTTACACAAATTAGAACGTAGGAATAAGTGTGTAAGCTTTCAGCGTTTTGAATTATATTGCAGTAGTGTTGGAAAATCGTAAACGATTTGATCTCTTAGCTTGTTTATATAGGCAATGGAATCCTGTCCAACATTAAGTGTGATAAAGGACATTAAAGCAGTTTCCATATTGAGAAGATCATGTCTGAATAAAGCCGTTACAAGTGATGTTGTCTTTATTGAATAGTAACGCTTCAGAGTCTTATAATCTTGTATGCTGCTATTGCTTCAGAACATTGATGACTTAGAGTTGTGAGAATTTGATTGTATATGAACCTTCTGTTCAGAATCAGAGTATGCTTCACTTTAGCGTATGTTCTGATCATCATTCTTCAGCTCAGATTCTAATTACCTCGGCAAGAAAGCTTAACTTCTGATGCTGCTTTGGTCAGAACTTCTGCCTACAAAATAACATAATTTTAGAGTGCATATTTGTTCTTTGTGTTTGTTATCATCAAAACTCTAACTAAGGGTTGTAGAATCAAACTATGTTCTAACAGTTATCAAGCTTTTTCAATTATCTATCCCATAAGTTGCGATAGATATGCAAATTTTCAGGGTTATATTATTCATCCCCTAGGTTGTGATGAATAACATAGGCCCACCCCTGTTGTCTTTCATGCCCTAGGTTTCCATAAATACACATGTTTTTCCTCGTACTGTTTACTCCCTAGATTGTAGTAAATAGGAAGAAATTTGCAATATAACTCATTGCATTATTCTCCATGCAGCGATGTGTCATCAAGCATTTTCAATCATCTACTCCCTAGGTTGTGATAGGTGAGAAAAATACTTTTCAAATATCTATCCCCTAGATTGCGATAGATATGTGCATTTTCAGGGTTATATTATTCATTCCCTAGGTTGTGATAAATAACATAAACCCACCCCTGTTGTCTTTTATCCCCTAGGTTGCGATAATGGCACGGGTTCATCCTCATACTGTTTACTCTCTAGGTTGTAGTAAACAGGACAGAATCTGCGATATAACTCATTACGTCAGTCTCCATGTAGCGATGTTGTTATCAAGCTTTTTCACTCAGTGATGTTGCCTGCTGTTTATTTCTACGGTCAAAAAATATTTTCAAACATTGGTTTTATAATATTCTTTGATTTTTATAAATATTCACTTCCAAACCTATTTTAAAAAATAATGATCTATTTAAGGTCATTTGTATTTTTGAATAAACAAATACTTGCTCGTCTTCATGTACTTTCAATTGGATTTTTATTTAGAATAAGTAACATAACACTGTTGGTAAGGAATGAAGCTTGCAAGTATGAGGTCGCGAGTTTGAATCTCTTGTGTTGCACTTTCAACATTTTTTCTATTTTTTTTGTTACTAATTTTCTTTCCTTTTTTGGAGATCAGGCTTTAGGTTTCTCTTGGTTTTTGGGCTAACTTACTTGCTAAGCATTTTTAACCTAATCTTAAGTCTATAAATAGGACTCATTGTTGTCCTAATTTTTCATCTACAATTTCTCACAACCAGCATTAACATTTTCACCAACAAAGAAATCACACTTGGTTATTTTCAAACTTCTATCTTTTTCAAAATTACTTTTTGGCCAATGATTTGATTTGAGGCCCCTCTCATTTGTTTTTGATTTTTCAATTCTTACTTGTTTATTATTTTTTTGGAAACCATATGATGATTTCTAATTGTTTTTTTTCTTAAAAAATCATTTTGGTTTATGTTAACAATTTCATCTTACAAATCAACAATCATTCACAAATCCATAAAATTTCCAATTACACCACAAACTTTTGTTTTGATTTATTTGAAGGTTCATAGCTCTGTTGTTTTATATATCAGACAATAACAACAATTTCTTTATTCTTGGCCAAGGATTTTATATGAGACCACCATTTTTATTTCCAATTTTATTTTTCAATTTATTTTTCAATTTATTTGTTATTTTATCCATATGATGATATCTGATGGCTCACATTTTTTGTAAAAACCTTTTAGTTACTAATAAACAATCCAAACTGTGTATTTTACAACAAAAGCCGTTTTTTGCTCACAATTGTTAAACACCCTCTCAACTATTCACCGTACATACTTGTATAGATTCAACAATTTTTACGCTAACACATTACGTCCATTTTTTGTACAAAAATCTATTATACATAACCCTTGCACATTCATACACATGTACATAACACTGTAAATATTTACACACTAAAAACACTTTTCCCCACCATCTCAGCTTCATGTTTTGCCAAATACCTTTTACAGTAACAACACCAAAATCTCTTACAAATTCATTATCCACTTCCATGTTTTTTTTATCATCACCAAAACCATGTTTTAAACACTACCTTTTATCCTTAGATAACTACACCACGAAAGTATCACCATTTCAACAAACCTTAACGAACACACACATATAATCTTCACAACATCACCTTTCCACCATATTTAACTCTATCCTTCACCTTCACATAAGTTACACAAATTCCATCAATTTCATATGACCTGTCAAAAGCCAAAACGCATGATACACAATTCCAACAATATTGAAACAATTGTAAGTCCACAGACGAAAAACAAGAGAGAGAGAGAGTTTCTGAATCAGAATCAAAACCGCAAATCCAAACAAAAGCAACAGCTCCACCATTCAGGCATTGTACCGTCGAAATCAACAGCATCAGCTTCTTCGCTAACCTTTTCCAACTCCTCTGCATACATTTTCAGATTCTAACATATGAATTTCTATGTGTTTACTTACCAATTTTACACAGGTAGGTGCTAATTGGAAGACGTGGAAACCATACGACAAACCCATGACATCCTCTGCTGCAGCAATCCACACAGCGACAACTTCTCAGAATCACACGAATTTCGGAACCGCACCAGAAAGAGTAGAAGAGAGAGAGGAAGAAGGAGTCGTAGAAGAAGAAATTGTACCTCATACCTCGAATACCAATCAGAGGAACTCCGACTCGGTAAATCTCTTTTCTTTCACTTTTTTCCCTATCGTTAATTGTTGTTATGTGATTGCTCTGCCACCCTGTTTTTGGTGTCGCTATTGATGAATCTAGAGAATGAGCATAGAAGTTGATAGCTGAGCCTTCTTGTTGTTACTATAAGATATGCGATAGAAACCAGATAGACCATAGAATAGAGTGTTAAACCGTGAGGATTTGACAAGTTGTATTGTTGTTGTTGCTTACGGTCAAAAGCAGAGATTTTTTTTGTGAAGAACATAGGAAAGGAAGTGATGAGTGTGAAGTAGAAGCGAAAACATAGTAGGTAAAGGATTTAACGTGAAAGAGTTTTTTTGAAGAGGCCGGTCTCTTTTTAGTCCTCTAGGGTTTTTGTGACATGTTTTATCTTGGGCCTTGTTTTTTTATTATTTTTTTGTTTTTTCTAATATTCTGCCTGGACCATTGATAAGCCCAATCTGTTCCAACATCTAATCACAAAGAAAACATTTAATTGTCTAAACCTTGCAAGATCAAGGGCGCCTCCCCCTATCTCACTGTTATATTTATTGTTAATTTTATTTTTATTTGATGTTACTATGATCCTTTTATTAAGTCGGGGTTTTTGGAATTATTTGGGCTGGACACAATTATAGAATGTCTCTTTACCCTTTTACTAACTAACTGCCACGTACACTTTTTACACCCTATTTTAGATTTTAAGTTAGTAAATTAGTTTAATTAGATTAAGTTAGTATGAAGAAACTAGTTAATTTAGGTCTAACTAAATTAGGTAATTCATCTAACTTATTAGTTTTTTTATTATTTATTAGACTATTTTAGTTTAGATTATTTACTTTCACATTAATTCAATTTTTTTTTCATAAATTGAATTAATTAATATTCTACAAAGATATTAAAATCCACACAACTCACAAATTATTATATCTGTGACCGACACGTGGCCAACATCTCGTCATGTGATGAGGAAGACTTTATCAGACTCCCTCTGTATCCTTCAAGATGAGCGAAACTTGGCTAACATCTGACCACATGATGAGGAACTATATTAGACTCCCCCACTCTATGTCTTATCACTCTTTTTAATAAAATATAACATTAAAACAACTAACCAATTACAAACTTTTTCAACTAACATAATCAAAACTTTAAAATCATTTTCAAAAAAAGGATTAAATAGCATTGTCTTTGAATCAAACATCGAATTGCATCTATGATCACTCTTTTACAAAACCCAGACAAGGTTCAAGGATATATTCGAAAGCAATTCTACGCAATCCCATAAAAAACACCAACCAACCGCGAACTATGAATCGGGACTCTGATTCCAAATAAGAGGATACATAGGCATACACTAAAATCGTGGCGAGTTCCCCTAATAAAACACTAAAACCCTATTTCTTAAAAATTGCGCTTCTAACCCTAGTATTCTTGTGAAAAAGGTAGATGAGGGGTGTCTAACACCTTTCCTTCGTCTAAACCGAGTCAAAGACCTAGAATCTCTAACTTTTTAGGGTTAAACTTTATATTCACTTCCTTAGGATAAAAATTAAGGGTGAAAACTCTTATCTTAAAACCAGTTACAACACCACGTAGAGACAACATTCAAATAGAAGGGGTGAGATATCATAACAATATAAAAAAAGATATAACAATAAGTATGCAACAGATATATCATGCAAGAGCACATGCTTCACACCATCAATAACAATTCATTCACATAGTAATCATACAAGCACTTAGATTCATCAACAATTGTCATACAATGTTTTCCAAATTATGCAGCTCTGCATCAACAACAATTTAACAGTTCAAAAATATGCAATGAAACTGACACTGATTAAATGCATGTGGTACCATTAGGGCATAAGCCCTCTCCATAAATCCAAATTTGGGCTATCAGCATACGACCAAATTAAGGCCAACAATATAAGCCAAATCCGGGCTATCAACATACAGCCAAATTTGGGCCAACAACATAAGCCAAATTCAAACTGTAAATGATGCATGTATGCAACACTGACATGCAACAACAAGATTATACAACTATAAAGAAGTATCCTTCAACATAAAACCAATCCGGGCCAATGACATCAATATCATCATTATGCAATCAACATTAAAAGTACATCATAAAATCACAAAACCTAAGTCAAATATTACACGAAATCAAACCTAATCTCTAATTTGCTAATAAAATATTATATTTACTCAATAAAAATCAATCTCTAAAAATTAACAGGAATCTAACAATTTTTCCTAATTCTTCTAATTTCTAATGCCTATATAAAGCCCTAATTTCTAAGAGAGAATGGATGGAAAATTGAAAGAAGAAGAAAAAGACAGAACTGAAACCCTAGATCCTTCAAGCCCTTGCGGCTCCATCCTCGCCGCTCCCCGTACCTGTGAATTAAACAAAGAATAAGAAGTTCATAAGGATATTTATGCAAAGAACCAAAACAAACTTAAAAGATTCAAGGTAACCACTTAGATTTTCGCAATTATCTAATATATGCATGTTGTGTGTATTGTTTTGGACAATTTTTGGGCTTCTTTGAACTCTTCGGTTGATCTTCAATCGGAGTTTGGGGCTTTCTACGGTGGCGGATGGTAGTTGTTATTAGAGAGAAGGAGGATAGAGATATGAAAAGTAATGAGAGAAATTAGAGGTGAAAAGAGAGGATGAAGGATGAAAATGAATGGAAATTAGGAGAAAACAAAATATGTACCCCCTTTGTTCTTGACCAGATGTGCGACACTTGGCCATTTACTAGCCAGGTGATTAAGTTGTTTCAGCATAAACCTGTACGTGTTCCCCATGATACGCCCTCACTCAAACGCTAATCTTGTTCATTCATTTATATTACTTTCAACCAACGCTCCAGAGTAAGCCTTTGGTGGCCCTTTGATTGAAATCAAGCGGTCTCAACTACACTAGCGCACCGTAACATCCTGAAATGACTACACCGGATCAACTGAATCTCCCAAAATTTGTTTAGGCCTAAGCCCATCGTTATTCACACCTACATATTTTTTATTTAACCTTTTTTAACTACAGTTTTAACCTCCTTTGCCTTGAACATTTATTGGGTAAAGCCTTTGATTTTAACACCCTCTAATTTACTTCTTTAAATTAGAATGTACCCCCCCCCCCCCCCCCCCCCCCTTATTAACTAATTAATTATTCTATATTTCTTTACATTAATTTATTTTTATTTTTTTTTTAATATCATTATCAATTTTCCACATATTGCATTAAAATGTTTTTTTTTTACATTTTTGTCATAGAATTATTTTTGATAAATAAATTTGGATTATTATTAAAAATATTCAATATATTTTTAATAATATAATGTAGTTATTTATTATACATTTCCTAAAATACTAACTTTGTTTTCTTTCTAATTATCAAACATTTTTGTCAATCAAATATTTTTTTTACTTATTTCTCATGCATTCTAAGACTAACCCATCAATTACTAATATTTTTTTACTGATTTAATTTCAAATTCAACTTATTTTCCAAAAAATATTGTGGATATATTTTTTATTAACTGCGAACTGTGTCTACGACTACACTACTTTCAAACCGGACAAGGTTCAAGGAGAATTCAAAATATTTCCACAATCCATAAAAAATTAATCTAACACTTATGAACTACGAATTGGGACTATGATTCCTCACAAGAGGATACATAGGCATGGAGCTTAAAAACCAAGGTGAGTCCCCCACCTAAAAAACTAAAACCCTTTTTGTTTTTCTAAACTTTGCAATTATATACCTTTAAAGTAGAAATTCCCATCTTAGTCTTAGACCTGAAAGTAGAGCCCCTTGAGAACAAAGGATATGAAGGGTGCCTAAAATCCTCCATTCATCTAATTGACTTAAGAACTTAAAATCTCTGAAACAATTAGGGTTATATGTTACTTCCCCGTCCTTAGGACAAAAATTAATGGTGGAGACTCTCATTATATTTTGCTGGTTATGACACCAGGGTGGTAATTCAAGCCAAAGTCATGGTCCTTCAATAATTCTAACTACCTTCTTTGCCTCATATTTAATTCCTTCTGATCAAACAAATACTTTAAGATCTTGTGATCACTAAACACTTTAAATCTAGAACCATAAAGGTAATGCCTCTAAATCTTTTGTACAAACACTACTGCAAATAATTCTTGATCGTGAGTAGGATAATTCCTTTCATGAATCCTCAATTGTCTCGACGCATAAGCTACTGCATTATCATTCTTCATGAGCACACCACATAAACCTAATTTAGAAGCATCACAATACACCACAAATGGTTCTTCAGGATTAGGTAATATTAAAATCGGATTCGTCGTCAATTTCTTCTTTAGCTCAACAAAACATTCTTCACATTGGATGTCGCACACATTTGCTCTGCCTTTACAAGTCAGTTGAGTTAGCTAAAGTGCTAACTTAGGAAAACCTTCAATAAATATTTTATAATAGCCAGCCAAGCCCAAAAAGCTTCTAATCTTTGTAACTGATTTTAGAGCTTCCCACTGCAACACTTCATCTACTTTGGATAGATCTACAACAATACGATCACCCGAAATAACATGACAAAAAAAACTGACTTCTGTTAACCAGAATTCAAATTTTGGCAGTCTTACATACAACTTCCTCTCTTTTAACACTTGCAATATAATTGGCAAATGCTCAGGATGTTCCTCTTCCGATTTGGAATATATCAAAATATCATCAATGAATACTACTACAAATCGATCTAGGTAAGTGCAAAAGATACGGTTCATATACTCCATAAACACTCCCGGCGTGTTAGTAACACTGAATGGAATCATTGAATACTCATAATGTGCATACCAAGTTCTGAAAGTTGTCTTCTGAATATCGTCATTCTTGACTCGAATTTGGTGATAACTCGATCTCAAATCAATATTGCTAAACATGCGTTCACCCACCAATTGATCCATCAAGTCATCTATCCTTAGGAGTGGATACTTATTTTTGCTCGTCACTTTACTCATCTGTCGGTAATCACCACAAAGCCTCATACTACCATCTTTATTTTCACTAGTAACACCGGAGCTCCCCAAGGTGA